CTTTTATGCTTCTCTTAAGTTAGAGCTGTGGCTCTTTGAAGGCCACTTGCATCCTTACAGAGTCTCCATACTGCTGCTTTTCTTTAAGGGCAGCTCAGTGGGGTGGCTCTGTAGGCCCCCTTGGTTCCTCTTGTATCTTATGGGGACCATTGCTTGCGGAGATGGGGGTACATAATTACATTTGTGCATTGTGTGGAAAAAGAAGGAAGATCTTGGGTATTAACACAGGTTATGAATCAGTGCTTCAGATTGTCCTCAACTGGCAGCAAGAGGTAGGAAAGAAGAAATTAGGACGAGCACGTAGCCAAAGCAAATTCCTGACGTGATGCTGTACAAGTCTGTGCACAAGTACAATGCTCCGGTGTGTGACAGGGTGTGTGTGTAGGTGTGTGGATGGGACTGCATGGGAACAGCTTCCTAGGGGTATATATCCAACTCTGCCCAACTGGGGAGTGTCAACTGAGGAATATTCACATATTCACACTCTTTTGAAATACCTGGTACAGTTTTCTAGAATGTATTAAGTCTTTTTAAAAGAGAGATTTAATATAAAAATGAATATCTTAGCATATTGAGATGTAAAGTCATTATGCTGAAAGCTCCTAAATCTATAATTTCCATAGTAAAATATTCCTTGTGCTGCAGATCACTGGGCCGTTTCATTTTTATTATTAATCTTAGTGACAACGGGATCTCTTATGTTGGCTTACAGCTACTTAAAATAGAAAAGCCTTAAGAATTAGCAGCAGCATTTAACCAAATAAAAGGTTTTCAGGTTGTTAAAATGAAAACAAACAATAAATGTGCAATTTACTGGACTGGAAACCATCACTAAATGGATTACATGCCAAACTATTGAATTTATTAATGAATATTTTGTGTCGGAAATGACGGCGAGAGTTTGAGGTACCTGATAGATACTGTGAATTTAGTATCTGTGATATTCTCCCTTTGACTAGAGGGACCTTTAACCATGTCTAAGTTGAATGGATTTGATTACTGAAAGTGCCTTTGATTTTGCTATGACTGCTGACAGACAGTTCAGTGACTTAGAGTAACAGTTCTTATGTGGTACAGGGACTGGTAGAAGGTGAAGAGACTGGAAGATGGCTCAGAGAGCCACCCATTTCCTCCTGTTGAACTTGCTTAGGTCTCCTGCCTTTTCTGTGCTCACCTGCTGGTCCAGAAAAGGAGGAGCAACTTTGCTGGAGAAAACAAGGTCAAGACATTTTACCATCACTCATGTGCAGTTGCCAGGATAATAGAGAAGGGCAAAGAGTCTTGACTCTGAGTCCCGAAACTTTGTCAGCATAAGCGAGGTGACCCCGAGAAGCCACATCCGTAGTTTTCCACCAGCTCAATTAAGAGTAAACCATTTAGGGAAGGTGTTATCAGTGAGGAAGTCTCAGGAAGGACAGAGGACCTGAAGCCCCTCAGGCTAATGAAGCCAGACAGAGAGCAATCCACCCTGCTGCAATTAATGAATTTGCTCCTGGCAAAGCATTTGTGTAGGTGGCAGTGCCAACCACCGACTTCTAGAAGCTGCTTTCCAGCTTCTTGTGCTAGCACTGCCGACCGCATAAGTTGTGCAGTACCTTAAACCGTGAAGATTGATTAACAAGGCTTAAAGAAGTGTGCCTTTTTTTTTTCAAACAGAAAATTAATGACCCACCACACTCAAATGTTGATTGTAGGAATTGATCAAAAATATTGCTCAAACAGCTTAGCAATAAAAATATATTGAGCAGTGAATTCCCAATGGGGGCTGCAGCTCCATGAATTGAATTTTGATAGCTAAGCCAGGATGCATATAGATCTAATAGCTCATGTTTTAACCATGCTTAGGGTCCTAGTCCCATATGCATTCAGTTAAGCTAATTCCTTTCCATTATGTGATGTACGTTAATTCTAAGCATGTTCTGCATATGGTCCCAGTGCAACCGTGTTGGATTTATTCTTTTTAGAGAAGCCAGAGTTTCACTTATTAAAGCGCTATTCCATGAATTATTTCTAGTGGTTTGTTCTGGGAAGGGAATATTTCCCTTGATTAGAGACATTCAGGAGAGCAAGAGCACAAGTGGGCTATCTTCTCGGTTTTGGTAACGCAGTTGTAAGTCGGGATGGGCCTTTTTCCACTCTTAAATTTGCATGTGTTTGGAAATCAGAAGATTAACTCTCCTGCCAAATCACCCAGGGAAGAGTTCTTTTAGGGTCTGAATAAATAGTAACTCCTGTTTACATGAGCAGGAAACTCATGAGCTCCATAGCTCTCATCAGTGGATATTCATAATGTGGTATTAGGAATCCATACGTCAACACTGAGAATTTGCTTGGTGTTACACTGCTGGGTTTGTGCTTTGCATAAAACAGGGCTGACTGTGCATGATGCACTCTGTGACATTAAAAGCTGCTGGTCTGATTCCATCTCACAGTATTAGCCACTAATTCTGTTATTTTAATTGGTTAAGCTGCAGCTTAGGGTAATTTTCAAGTGGAATGAAAGCAGCACAGTTTGCCCCTTTGTAAAAAACAGCTGCTGATATTTTATAGTGAACTCTTTTTTTTAATTTTTCATGTAAAATAGAACGAGACAAACTAATTGTGAGAGTTTCCCCAGGTGAGCTGTATGCACCTGGCAATAGCTTATGGAGCAGCGTTTTCTTCATCTGGCAGGACTGCAAAAATTAGGGTGATGTCAGTTGTTTTTTAAGTGTTTTTAAAGTATTTTGCACAATACTTGGTTGAAGTTCTGATATCAGAACTGATGGCTGTGACTTGCAGTTCTTATTCTTTATTCTTTATTCTTCTCTTATTCTTCTCTATTCTTATTCTTCTTATTCTTAATTCTTTATAATAATGAGCCATCCCATCTTCCAGGTCGAGTTTAGCATATGTAGTACCATGTAACTACTGATTTTCATCCTGCTGATGCATCATCAAAGGTGTTCGTAGCTCTTACTGACAGAAGAAAATGCTCTATTTTTTTTTAGATTATTTTGTAAATTTAGCATATTTTCATCTCCATCTACACAATAGTTAAATATAATAAGGAGCATCAATCTTAATTTTGTGACAGCTGGTGTATTATAGATGTGATCTGCAGCCTGTAAAGTCAGAAAGATTCCCTCCCCTGAATTGAGATGTTTTTGTATTAGACCTGCACACTTCATTGCCAAAGCCAAGAAAGTCTTGGCAGCCCAAGAAAAGGAAAGTTATTAAAAATCATGTGATATATTTCTTTGCCTCAAACTCTTAGTCTGATTTAAATCTGATTTGCCTTATGAGTTTTGAGAATGGTGGGAATGATCATACTTTCAAGTTTATTTCTTCAGCCAGGCTATAAAATTATTTCTATGTAAAATCAGAAGAGATTCCCCATCTCCAGAAGCTGGAGCTTTTAGGAAAGGTGCAGTGAAAGTGTGAGAAATGAGGACGATAAATCTTTCACTAATAAAGGAATATCTATATGGACCTTTTGCTCTTCTTCGAGCAGTCATTTGGACCTGCTTGTTTAAAGGAAGGTGAATTTGTTTTGTTGTGTTTTTTTAGATACTGGTGGGGAAGGTTGCACTGTATTAAATAATGCAAAGTTGCTTTGCCAGCATGAACTGGGGGCTTTGGCAGGCACTTATTACTGATTTCTTTACTGGCCACTTGGAAAATCTTTCAAATGCTAAGTGCTGTGTTTCCCCCATCATTCTTCACTTCCATGTGTTAATGTGCAGTCCTTTAGAGCTGCATTTCTGAATGTGCAGTACCCAGTTCTAAACTGGCTTTCAAGGGAGTTTTATGTAGCCTAGGGAGGTTTTGGTTGAAGCATTGACAGAGGCAAGGATCCCTCTCTTACAGTCTGCTAGTGCTCTTTGCATGGGTTACTCGCCTCCAAATCCTTTCTTTGGACACAAACAGCTATATCAGGTAGGTCCACAAATCCAGCCAACCCTGTAGCATGTCTCCAAAAAATGGCCAATTATGGTTGCATAGGAGAAAGCAGAAAGATAAAGAAACCATACAATGTTAATCCTACGGTATATTCTCCTAACCCCGATAAACTCTCTCAGGATCTTCCTCATCCAGAGGCAGAGTTTGTGTTTAGGAATGACAGATGGATTTTCTTCCATGAGTTCATCCCATCGTTTTGTGAATCCCTGTGTCCAGCCTCAAGGCAAGGAGTTGCATAACTTACCTAATCGTCCAATCATCACAAGGGCATGGGGAGGAAAAGGAGTGGGTTCCCTTCTTGTTCATTGGATTCCTGCGTTACTTTGGGATACTCCTCTCCTGCAGCTAGAGGTTTGATTGCATAGACGCATGCAGCCACCAGTAGCAATGTGGTTACAGTTCCAGGGACTTGGTGTTTGATCATTGACCTCCACAGCTATACGTCCTGCCATCACTTCATTGCTTTTGGTACCAGAGCTAATTAAATGAATATTTTTCCCCATATGATGTGGTTTTCTGGTTCTGCATTCACCCACCTTACTATAATGCAGTTTTACTCCTGCCCTGGCTCCTCCTGCTCCACGTCCAACTTTTCATGTTTCTAAGGGCAACTGACCACAGTATTTAGAAGGTTCTGATTAGTATATGTTAATAATAATATGCTTATTTGAAGCATCAGCAGGGCTAAACAGAGTTCACAGTACATTTCCTATGACCATCAGGGTCACTGTGTGCAGTGTTGAATGTGGGATTAGCTCCATTTAGGTAAAGCAACTTTGTAGGCCATGTACGATGGATCTGAGCATGCGCTCGAGCTGCTTTCTGGATGCCCAGGTGTCTGAAAAGGCAACTGGCTGCAACAAAAAATACCTTGTGTTGCCCGTGCTTTTCCTAAGCAACACAGGATTTGAGCATATCATGATGGAAAGGCTGCTTATCCAGCACGTTTGGCCTTGCCACTGTGACTGATGGCTCTTGGGAGATGCTTTTAAAATGGAGGAAGGGGTAGTTGGCCTATTAGCTAAGACTGCACAGCATTTTTCTTCAAATTTGCTCCCACTGCTGAGAGCAATCGCCTTAAGGCAGAGTCTTTTCCCTTTTTATGAGTTTTTCCTCTCAGGAATTGTTTTCCGCCAGGAATTTGTTTCTTCATTGGCTGTCCAAGTTTTTTCCTAAGGCCCCATCAAATTCTTATGCCCACTGGCATATTTCCTAGTCCAGTTTCTGTCCCCAGCTAGAGAAGGATATGTACAGGAGATGTACAGATTCCAAGAAGCGGTTTAATGAGAGTTTTCTTTCCCCTCTGTGAATCCAAGGACTTTGTCATTCCCTTTGCAAGCCCCAGGGGGTTCATAGAACCACAGAATCATATAGTTGGAAAAGACCTTCAAGACCATAGAGTCCAACTGTAAGCCCTTCCACACCATACCTGCTAAACCATGCCCCTAAGTACCCCTAAACCCATAGACCCTTAAGATTTGGTCTGCCTAAGAGGTCCAAGCAAGAACTGCAGAACCTCATGAACTGGCAAGTCAATCTGTTGAGTAAAGCTGCAGAGAACATCTGGCCCCAGAAATCTCCCTATTTCTTGACATTTTTTGTCATATTCCTGCTTCCAGTTACGTCCGTATGGGGATGGGTAAGGAATAAGAGGAAACAGGTCTTTTTTTTTTTTTTTGCAAATGTATGTTTTAATGTAGAATTTTAACTGTTTCAAGAGCAGGAGCATGCCATGCACGTGCAACCTTACAAAAGCACCCAGTGCCGTGCATGTTGGCAAGCTGCCTGACTTCGGAATAGATGTAGCTGTGTGCTTGGAGACGCTGCTATCCAGCAGCATCACTGCTCTTGTATAGGATAAGAGCCAGTATGATTATCTATAGTATAGTCATATACTCTCTAAATATCTCTCTGCCAACATACATATATACAAACACAGACTCGTGTATCTGTTTATGTGTATGTATATATATGCACACACTTACACGTGCCCATATTTGTTCTGGTGACACCCACATCCTGACTCTCCTCTACCCTTTCCTCCTTGTAATTCTTAATATCCAGTGCAAAATGTATGCAAAAGGGTCCCCCATTCTAGTCATTTTTATTGGGACTGCAGCTTTGCATAGTTGGTATTTGAGACCCAGAGGTTAAATTGTCTGCCAAAATTCTATGAAAGAGGTGTTTTTGTTTTGTTTTGTTTTTCCTTCAGTTAGTTATGCTGTGTAAAATAAAGCTTCAGTGAATAATTACCACTGTGTATACCATGAACTGCAGTTAATAGGAGCAAATTGCAGTACATTAATCTTTGGATTTATGAGAAAACACACATTGTTTTAGAGGATTTGCTCAGTTCTGTTTTCATCCAGCCCATCTCTTGGTACAATTGTAACAGACAAATGAGACTCTCAAGTGTTTGTGTGTGGGGAAAATAGCACATTCAAAAAGCCTTAAGCACCTTCAAGATTTTATATTTTCTCTGGCACTGATGTCCCTCTTGTGTGAAGTAGTGAGCATTGACAGTGGACAGATATCTACTTTACCTTTTGAATTGTTTCTTCAAGTAACCACTTTACCATTCAAACCAATGGCTGGTGTCTTATGAGGAAATGGATAAATTTGGAGTTTGCCATATCTCAGCCCCTTTTTGGGGAACCTGGTATAAATTACTATCTCCCTGAACCAAAGACAAGGAAAAGATCCTCTCAGTTTTGAATGGTGATTTTATTTATTTTGATTTTGCTATACTCTGGCTTCCCAGCGAGTATTCTCTGCTTTCAACCACTAGACTTAAATTAGCTATATATTACTGCAAATTTACCAAGGAAATGGGTATTTTCCTCACATTTCAGTGGCAAAATCATAACAGCCCCTATTACTGAATTCTGTCTTTTTAACTGCAGTCTGCGGCTGCTGAAAGCAGAACTCCAAGCTGTCCGGCATCCACCTCAGAGAGCAAATCCATTAAGCAATTTTGTGCATTTCAGAAATGATCTATTTTCTGTAAATTACGTAACTGTGCTGAGGACGTGTGTATCCCAAGTTCTGAATTGTGGTTATAGGCAAGGACAATTAACTGAAAAGGGTAATTTCAAGCAGTGCATTAGATAAATGATATGTTACTAGGAAATGCTCTGTGCTAAGGAGAGCATTTTAAGGCAACTTGTTTTCTAAATTATATCAGGTGTATTATGTGTTTGCAGTTAATCTTAATTGCTTCAAAACACGTAGCATTGTTTAAAAGCAATTCAGTGAGAATGCAAGTATAACCTTTCCAAGGGATGATTCTGCACTGTGGATTTTATGTTATTTCTTGGAAAATAAGAACAAGGGAATTTAAGTATTTGCAAATTTTATTTCACTCTATGTGAGAAAAGCTAGTCATGATTTTACTGGATACAATACCTTAAGCAGAAATAGAGTCTCTCACCACAAAGAGCAATGGGATTGGATGAATTATTACTCTGGTTTGTTTCCCAAAATAGAGTCGAGAGAAATGTTGCAAGGTCTTAAAGGAGGAAGTGTTAAAACATATTACTTTTTCTGTCCCAAGACTATGAAACCTCTAACCTTCACCAGAGGACTGTTTGAGGTACCAGGAATCAATAGAGATACCACCACTGTTTGATTCATTTTAGCTTCCTTTTAGTAACTACTAAAATAAGGAGCTTGGATATTACTAGAATCCGAAGAACCTCGTTTTATAAATTCCCTGTGTTCTGCGGTGTCTGCTTCAGGATCGGAGGTGGCAGTTTGTTGTGGTGGTAGCCCGCAAGACGCTTGGCAAGAAGGAGCAGGTTTTTGGACCCTTAAATGAGCTCCCTGCATAGTGACAAAACCTGAAAATGTGTCTGGTGTCTGCACTGTCTACACCGGTGTTTTTGTTGGGTCAGGAGTGTGTTTTTGAAGTTGATGTCCTTCATCATCATCCTCGTGAAACTGGAGGGTGCAGAGAAGCACCTAGTGCACTCCTGCCACTCAGGCTGTCCTGTCCATGAGAGCAGAGCAGATCAAGTCCCGAGTCCTCTGCATGTGCACAGTGAATGTCACATCCTCAGCATCCCCTGCTTTGCTGCTCTGCCTGCCAAGGTGGATTCAACCTCAGTGTAGAGGCGAAGTTTTGTTGCATGTGCAAGGGCTTAAAGGCTCAAACCCTTATTGAGCAACCATTTAAATACAGTGTTAGACTTAAATGCATAAGATTGGATTCAGATCTAGACTTGTGTATCTCTTTTGATTGAGAGACAGATATTTAGAGGTTTAAACTGCCAGGAAGATCTTTGCTGGGTTTTTGGAAGAAAATCGCTGCTATCTCCAAGGTGGAAATGTTTTAACATTTTAAAATGTGGTCCTCAGGCCCTGGAAACCGGCTCTTATCCAGTCAGCGCTGCAAAGCTGCAGTGATGCAGGAACCTAAATGCCATGGACTTCTAGTGAGATTGGGCTCCTGAGTCAGTTAGGGTCAGACCCATTGAAATATTCAGTCACCTGAACAGAAAATCCACATTAGTACTTATTATGTTCAGGAGTTTTTGAAAAAAAATCTGTTACCTCCATCCTCAGCTACCATGAGACCTTTGCAGTCTGGCTTTTATGGTCTGGGACACTTCACAGAGCAACCTATATATATCTTAAATGCCTGGGGCTACTGCTAAGTCTACTTGGGTACCTCAGGTATTTCTAAAGTATGTATCTGTATTAGTTTTCAGAGTTTGAAGCTGGTGTTAGAATAATTGGAAGCAGAAGACATTTGGGGAAGAATTCATTTGCTTGCTGAAGACAACTGTATAAGCAGAAACCCTCACCAAAGTTTTCCTCCTGTTTTTCAGGTAAAGGTGATGTGTTTGGTGATATCTTCTGGAAAGAAACTAGTCTAGCCCACGCATGTGCCAATGTTCGGGCTCTGACATACTGCGATTTACATATTATTAAACGAGAAGCCTTGCTTAAAGTGCTGGACTTCTATACTGCGTTCGCCAACTCCTTCTCGAGGAATCTCACGCTCACCTGCAATCTGAGGAAGCGGGTAAGGCAGCTGCGCTCGTTTTCATCTTTCTTAGACAGCAAAAGATTGGGACCACTTGCAGACTTTGGCAGTATTTAATGACACACAGTTTACTCCCTGTGTTTTCAGGTCATTGCAGATTAACTGGCCCTTCAATAAATGCTCTAGTTGTTAATGATGGCTCAATAGAAGTTACCCATAGGTTTTTCAGCTCTGAGCAGCAGCTCGAGCAGGATGACATAGGAATTACTCTTTCTTTTCCTTTTACTTTATACTTCCTTTTTCTTTACACTTGCTGTTATGTTTTTTTCATTACATAGTGATAAAGTTAAATTTTATAGTCTAATAGAATCCAAATTCTGAATTCCTGTGACGTAAGGTTTAATCTCTCATCTGCTAAAATACAAGTTGGAGGTTAATCTGGTAGATATGCCTGACGTAGACCAGTTAAGAGAAATTTACTGATGTTAAATAAATAAATGGTACTCAGCAAAATTATTTTAATACGTGCTTCTCTCACTTGTATAGCTTAGTATTTTAATATGGCAAGGTTAATAAAGCTTGGTGGTGATTTTACATTCACAGCTCACTTTTTAAGCCCTACTGCCCATTTTATAATCAATCAGCAGTGCTCACTCACCATTAGTCCTTTCAAAGAACACTTCATCTAAAAATTAATTAGCTGTAAAGACGTATCTTGAAAACAGGTTAAGGGATTCTTTAATGCGCATTGCGGCTGCAAATTTTAATCTTTATGTTTTTTTTAAGATTGATGGGGGTTATATAAATTTCATTTGCATAGAGAAATCTCAGAACAATGATTTATAGATTATTGAGCATTAACTGAGATCCTTTACCTTCAGAAACCGTTTTTTTTTCCCCCCTCTTTCTATAGCTGTACATAAGGAATCTCACTTAATATATTGAAGCTCCTTCAATATTTTACAAGACAGTTTCAGGCTCTGCGGAAGCAGGAGTTCAACATAACCCAGAATTTTATCTATCTGAGCCTAGATTCCCAGTACTTCTTTTGAAGGAGATTTAATTTTTAGTGCTTTCCTTGTGCTCATTAATATACCAAGCGTGGCACGAAGCACCCTTGGCCAGAAGCAGCTGCAATAGGATTGCGGTCTGTGCGGGAGCCTGAAAGAGCTGAGCTATAATCGGGTTCGGTTCCAGCTTGTCAGCTCGCCTCTGACTTGCAGCTTGTTAGCTCTGCTTCAGACCTTAAGAAAGGCTTGGAGGATGGCTTGGTGTTTCCAGCTTTTCCGTTATCTGTTGCTAAGGTGTCCTGCAAGGCTTGGAGGCTCCAGCATCCCCCTCCCCTGCCATTCCTGCCTACCTGCAGTTGTGCCACAAGCTGCGGGTCCCTGCTTGGGATTCACTGGGGCTTCTTGAGGGTATTTTCATGGGACAAGATAAAACAATGTACGCTGTGTCACAAGATATTCTTTGCTTCTTGAGACAGTGGACCTGTCACTTCAGCTGGCTTCCTGGGGTTCTTCAACCCCATTAGTCGTGACGAGGTGATGTGCAGGGAAAGCCACGTGGCTCTTTCTGTGGCAGGCCAATGTGCTGGCTTTCAGTTTAGCAGCTGTGGGGTGCATTTCAGGAATAACCTTCTGGCTGTTTTCTCGGCTTCTCTTTCCTTCATCACACCTGGTTTCAGGCACGTGGCTTCCCTGCAGGGCTGTGGTGCAGGGTGGTTTGGCGGTGATGCTCGGGGAGCTCAGGTCACCCCATGCTCTGTTAGATCCATGCATTTCCCCGCTGTGGCTGCAACTGAAAGCAAATGGGACCTTAACAGCACGTCTAAAGAGAGACTGGATTTTGCAGCAGGATGACAGAGCTGTTGGATGCATGTGCTAGCATTTATTTCACCTCAGATTTGAGTGATCATAGAATCATAGAATGCTTAAGGTTGGAAGGGACCTCTGGAGGTCACCTAGTCCACCCCCCTGCACACGCAGGGACACCTAGAGCACGTGGCACAGGACTGCGTCCAAGCGGGTTTTGAAGATCTCCAGAGAAGGAGACTCCACAACCTCTCTGGGCAGCCTGTTCCAGTGCTCTGGCACCCTCACTGTTAAAAAATTTTTCTTAAGCATATCCAAACTATCCAATCACCTTCGTAGTCCATCAAAAATGGTACTTCCAAAGGGCAAACATCTCCCCACTCTTATGTGTCCAATCTAGGAAGGAAAAATTGTGCTTTCTCTGTTGGCTTTTGATCGAGTCCTTGATCACTAGCTTTTCAATACAGATACAGCAGATGATCTGCACCTGTAATATTTCAGGAAAAAAAGGCTTATTCCTAGCATTTCAGTAACTTATGCTCAACTGGAACCCGCTTGGCAAAAATTGTATGTGTTTTTTCTCGACACAAAATAGATAACCTTGCCACCAACACCAGAGCCACAACACAAGCACTATTGCAGAAAAGTATCCAGAGCACTGGATCAAACCTTGTATCTGGGAAAAATACGTGTGATTCCCTGTTGGGCATGGAAGGGTTCATCTCTTAGGAAATACAGTGCTTTGTAGGCGAACAGAAGGCAGCTGTTCAGGTGACGAGAGCCTGCGCTGACGGTGCAGAGCAGCACTGTGCAGCACCGGCTTGTGCCAGAGCCATGTAACCTAAATGGAAAGAAAATCATTGTCTCCTTTAATTGATTTCAATGGAAATATACTTAGCACTTTTTTTTTCTATTTAGTCATCTCTTGCAAGGTTTGACATTTAATTATAGCAACAATACACTCCTTGCAGGTCTGTACTCAGAAAAACGCCTGCTTGTTCTCACTCTCAGACATATATAGATAGAATTGTGTTTTTTCCATCAGGTCTGCTGCTTGTGTGTGGGTATATGCACTCACACAAATATTTGTACTGCCAAAGCATTCTCCCTCAGCGAGCTCTAAGCTGCAGTCCGTGGACTGTGTAATGATTTAGATGTTCAAAAAGCTAATAAATTAATAATAGTACTAAGCACAAAAGGTTAGTTCCACATGACAGGAAAGAGACAGGCACACTGAAGTGGGAAAATAGTGTTTTCTCACTCCCAAATAACATTTAGAGGCCTGGCGTGTCGAATGACCTACTTAAGGCATCTGCCCAGCATACTATTAGCAACTCTGGATTTTTGTTTTCTTTTTCTGTGTGCTAGGTTGCTCAGGCATCACACTGCATTTATGAGCCCATAAGATGAGAGTGCCCACTCACTTTTCAACCTGCAGTCATCTCTCCTTTTCAGGGTGGCAAAGTGATTTTTAATCTGTAATAGCAAAGTATTGCAGCATATCTTGCACTGCAACCTTTATGGCACATTGAACATTGCTAATGCACACTCCGAGGCAGAACCAGGACTTTGAACTTTTTTTTTTCCCAAATAGGGAAAATAATTAATCTGGAAACATATTCATTGAAATCACAATGAGATTACATAGCTGCTTCTGAGGACTGGAAGTTATAAAGCAGTGCTTAGGAAGGGTCTTCAAAGAGTTAATTACTGATTTCTGATGTTGAAGAGAATATTAATAATGTCTAATTCATTAAGAGTCTTTCAGGATTTTGCACAGCCAGCGTGAAGGCCTCTCCCTGCAAGCCTGAGCCATGGAGATTGGCTCAAGGAAGGGAGCTGAGACAGGTTTCTAGGAGACTCAGAGATATCTATGAGTGAATGTGCCTTTTATTGATAAAAATTCATAAAGGAAGGCCTGCGTATGAGTGAATGTACCTTTTATTGATGATAAAAATTCATAAAGGAAGGCCTGCACTGGATTATCATATGGAAAACAAGTGTTTAGCTGAAATATTTGTAATGCCTTTTTTTTTATTTCCTCCCGCCCCTGTTCTCGTGGTTACTTCCATTTACACCAGCTGTTGCAGCGTTTCCAGATAGCTGCTAGACTGTCAGAGTGGGTACCTGGCCCATCTGAAAAATTCTGGCCCATCTGAAATCAATGCTAAAATTGTCCTATATCTCAATAAAGCAACGATTTATCCTATAGATTTTAAGATATGTCATCAGATACTGCTGTTTTCTATTATGCTCAGAAGTAACGGTGTTAAAGAAATGAATCAGGAGCATCTGGTGAAGAGGACAATTGTCCATATAGGATCTCTGGGACATTTGCTCCTGGAAAGTGAGTTGGAGAATAAGTCTTGGAAGCGCAAAGAGAAGCATGTGCCTTTAAAGCAGTGAAATGCCATCCAGAAAAGTTTGGTTCTGATCTCTGAGAAGCTCTGGAGGCCAGGGACAGCTCTGTGAGTGACTAATGATTCATAATTCCTCCAACATAGAGTGAAGCTCTGAGGCTTTTCAGCAGGTAAGGTCATCAGACTGTCTTAACACAAAAGTCCTGTTTTATTCTTTCTGTTTCAGACCAGAATAATTTCTTTTCAAATTGTTTTTCTTCTTTTGCATGAGGTTTTTATGAATCCTGTGTTATTCCTTTAATGAATCACACATCATTAATATGTCATTGAATTTTTAGAAAATTCTTTTGGTTTGAATTTTGTGTTAGTATCCACTAAAAGTGAAGATTGTCCCTGTATTTGTTTAGGATCTCCTCTCTTCTCATGTTTAAGACTCCAGTAAGTAGGCTACATTAACGAGTATCCAGATGTAGAACCAACGTTGGGCAGCAAGCACAGCTCTCTGCATTAGCTGTTATTCCTGAATGTCCTTGGTTCCCCTCACTGCTCACATATGCTGAGGTGATCCTGCAGACTTTTGCAGCTTTGGAGCTCCAAAAGCCATGCACTGTTATGGCAGCTTAAGTCAGAGCTGTTTCCATTTTTGCAAGCTGTCACACTCTGTCCTGTTCACTTTTGGGGAGTCACTTGCCTGCACAGGACAGGGTCAGAGCATGGTCCTTGGGTAGCTCTGCAGGGCATCACTGCAGAGCAGGACATTCTGGGCACATCCTCTTCCCTGTGGTCCATCTTCAGGGACTCTTTTTTCTCAATAGTGACTCTCACTGGGAGCTTCCTCCATCTGGGACAATGATGATAGCAAAGT